ATAAAGATGAAATTTAGTGAAATCGAATGAAGAATTAAAAACGATAATGACTAGAAATTACAGAGGGATAAAAATCGTGCAACGACGTTAAACTGAAAATTCAGAATTAAAAAAATATAGATATTATTAGAAAAAATAAAGTATGTGTAGATAATAGCTAGAAGAGGTCTGAGAGAATTAAACATTTCGAATCAATAATATATCTAAATTGCTAGGAATCCAGATAGTAGAATTCAAGTATGGTGATTGGTTTAAAGCATCAAAATGATCATAGAGTTGTGCTAGCCTTTGAAGTCATTCACCGCTGTTTAGTAAGAGTAGATTGGGTCATTGTCAGGTACGCGGGATCAAGGGAGGATGTCAGCTATAACCACACCTCCCCAACTCTGAAGAGGGCCTTACAAGGACAGTAGGTTCTCCTGGCAATCTTAGGCACACAAATGTAGCAATAACTTATAAGGAGGGGGGTGCAGGTCAGATTATCCAGTATGTTCTCATCTGTATTTGCAGACATTCTTTTAAAATGGAAATTGTAAGTGATAAGCCTGCCAACATTACTCACTAGTCATGAAAAGCAGATATCTCCATTATTTGTTCCCCAGCCTTGCAAAGAATTAAAAATAAACAGTAGTTTTATCTAAAAGGAATTTAGTTTGAAATTATCTTCAGTTTTTCAAAGAGAATATTGTAAAAAGGTTCCCATAGCATACTATTTCATTACTTCAATAAATAAATTACTCATTAATTTTTTTCAGCCAATTGGCCCTTTTAAAATGTAATCTTATTTCTCAGTTTATAATTACTCTTGTCTCTTTCAGAGCCTTATAATGTTTTACTTATCCATGTGTTTTATCCTCATAGATAGAGGGTAAAAGAGAAAATCTGCGAGATCATTTATAAGAATAATCGCTATAAATTCCCATCCCACATCTCTATTCCTATCAAATGAAGCTACTGAATCTCATCAGCCTTCAGTTTTCCGAATACAATTAAAAAAGAGTACTTTCATAAGTAACCTGCGAGAACCAAATAAAATGATGCTTGTCAAATGACTAGCATTGCCTTTAACATACAAGAAACACTCAGCTTTAGTTTTGTTGAGTGTTTGTTTCAACAAACTAAATAAAATAAACAAAATAGGTTTGTTTCAGTATTCATGTATACTATCCACAAGAAGAAGTGGGTGGTAACTTTAAAGATTTGGCCATCTTTATTATCTGCCTTATGATCTTAACATTTACTGTGACAGCCATGCCTATCATTAAGTTTCCAAACACAGACATAAATACCTATGGTTTTATAGACAATGTTCAAGTCATTTTTAATAAAATACTTAATTCTATTCAAAACCATTTTTAAAACATCAACAGAGATAGTAATTATAATAAAATAATTTGTTGCTTTAGATGTTTTTAAACACCTGTTTAGATAGATTGTTTTGTTGTATTCCATATTTTTTCTTTTAGTCTCTTATATAGAGCTATGTACATTTCTAAGAGCTACTTACTGCACCCTAATCATTCTTGAAACTCACTTAAGGTTCTCTCATGGTAAGATTATATTTTACTTGTCAATCTTTAGACCCTTCTTTATTCCCATATAGCACTACTTACCTCTCATTTCCCTTTTTCTACATCTATCTCAAACCCTCTTCTTGATAATTTTGTTTGTTAACACTTTTTGTATATGATCTGTGAAATTCATAGTATGCTAACTTCAAGGAGACTATACCAGAGCCTAGCAACTGGTGGGAACAGATGCAGAGACCCACAGCCTAACATTAAGCAGAGCAGGCAGAACTCAGCAAGGATTGTAGGAACCAGAGTGGTTGAGGACACCACAAAAAAAATGATCCACAGAATCAACTAACCAGGGGACATAGAAAATAAGAGACTGAGTATATATATATATATATATCCTACACACACACACACACACACACACACACACACACATATATATATATATATACATACATACATATATATTCTGGGTATAGGCAAAGATTTTATCTTCACAGCAGCTTAGATTCTTTAACAAAGTGGGTATAATGAAGACTGGCTAAAAGTTCATTAATCCCATTTAGTCTTCCTGAAATTAACTGGGGAAAAAAATCAGTGATCCTGATTGTGTCTGACCTAGGTCCTCTGTACATATGTTAGGACTGTGTAGTTTGGTGTTCCTGTGGGACACCTAAAAGTGGAAGCTTTGGGGTGTCTTTGACTCTTTTGTCTGCATTTGAGACCCCTTTTTTCCTACTGGGTCACCTCATCCAACCTTAATATGAGGGGATGTATTTAGCCCTATTGCAACATGATATGTCATATTTTGATGATTTCTTTGGGAGGTCTGGCCTTTTCTGAAACAAAATGTAGTAGATCGGGGAGGAAGGAATTGGGAGGAGATGAAGGAGGGAAAACTGACGTCAGAATGTAATGTATGAATGAATAATTTAAAAGAACAGAGCGTTCAAGATTAACCATGTGAACTGCATGTCAAATAGTCAGAGCAGAAATTAAGAAAATAATTATTAGAAATTATTTATGGATCTGTGTCAGGAAATTACTAATAATAGAGGTAATGATGAGTCTTAAAACCCTATATGGCCTCATATTATTCTTGGTATATGTGAAGATCTTATCTTCACAGCAGCTTAGATCCTTTAACAAAGTGGGTATGATAAAGATTGGCTAAAATTTATTAATCCCATTTAGTCTTCTTGAAATTAACTGGGAAGAAAGCTCTGGTCAATGAAACATGGTAGAAATTGACTCTAGAGGGGCTTGTAGGTGTCCAGGGAGATGCCCCCAGTTAGTTCGTTAGGCAGCTGAGGATAGGGAACCTGAACTGGCCCTATCCTATAGCCATACTGATGAATATCTTGCATATCACCATAGAACCTTCATCTGGCGATGAATGGAGATAGAGACAGAGACCCACATTGGAGCACCGGACTGAGCTCCCAAGGTCCAAATGAGGAGCAGAAGGAGGGAGAACATGAGCAAGGAAGTCAGGACCTCGAGGGGTGCACCCACCCACTGTGACAGAGGGGCTGATCTATTGGGAGCTCACCAAGGCCAGCTGGACTGGGACTGATGGGGCATGTGATCAAACCAGACTCTCTGAACACGGCGGGCGGACAATGAGGGCTGATGAGAAGCCAAGGACAATGGCACGGGGTTTTGATCCTACTACATAAACTGGCTTTGTGGGAGCCTAGCCTGTTTGGATGGTCACCTTCCTGGACCTGGATGGAGGGGGGAGGACCTTGGACTTCCCACAGGGCAGGGAATCCGGACTGCTCTTCGGACTGGAGAGGAAGGGGGAATGGAGTAGGGGGAGGGGGAGAGGAGTGAGGGGAGGGGGGAGAGGTGGGAGGGAGGGGGAGAGGAGTGAGAGGAAGGGGAGGGAAATGGGAGGCGGGGAGGAAGCAGAAATTTTTTCAATAAAAATAAATAAATAAATAAATAAATAAATAAATGAAGAAATAGAGAAAGAAAGAAAGACAGACAGACAGAAAGAAAGAAAGAAAGAAAGAAAGAAAAAAATCCTAGGCCTGGCTATAAACCTTCATTCACTGAACAAACATGTTTCCAGTGGCCTTAGAGCAACTATGTTAACATGATGGTTTAATACAACTGGAAATGTTTATCCCCAAGTGACTATTTAGAAAAAACTTGTCAAAAGGATTTATTAGCTACTATCACAAACAAACCAATTGTTATCAATTTTATTGTATTACGCTGTTGATATTTTAGGATTTATTTCTAAATGCAACTTAACATAATATAAACAGACCGTTTTGGGAATGAAATACTTTAGAAATGAAAGAAAAACAGTATGGAAGAACATTCTATGGCTTTTCTTCTTAAATGATATAATTCATGTCTGATTCAAATCCTTGTTTACCGGAAAGCATTTTCTACCAGATGTAAAACCAAAAATATAGAGAGTTTTGGGTTTAGTACTCAATCATATAACCTTCCAATTGCATTATCTCACTGATTAAAAATATCTTAATAGTATCTACTGTTTAGCATTTAATGATTCAGATGGCCTATACATGCAACACTGAAAGCATCATATGTATATAAACATCATGCATGGTACTTGATAAAATTAATCGTTTTGCCCCTTTCTTTTAGCCTAGAAGGGACTGAACTATCAAGTGGAAACATATTTCTATTATTTTAAGAGAGAGAAAAGGAAAGAGAGAAGGAAGAACATGAGGCATAGACTATGCTGTGCTAACATCAGAGAATGGGAAAAGAAATTGAGAATATCTATATGTTCCCTTTATACCTTCTCTGATACCCACTCATTCCTTTCTCCAATTAAAGCTCTCTGTAAGGTAAGAAATGGGAGGTGGGATAGATCTATTTTCCAGGAAGGAATTGATGGCAGACATTAATTTAAATTCACACTACTGCAGAAGTATAGTATGCATATCATCTTTGAAGTGCTCTTAAGAAATAGTACAGTGTAAAACCCAGGTCATGGGTAGGGAAATAGAACAACAGTGTGCTTGCCTAGCTTTCAGGAAGTCTTTATTTCAATCCCCAGCAGAAATTTGGCATGGTAGCAAGGCACATGCCTGTAATTTATGCACTCAGGTAGTGCAGGCAGGAGGTTCGGGAACAGGCTATTTAAGAGCCTGTTTCAGTAAAACAAAACATAAACTAACAAACCACATGTATACTATAAGATGAAAATCAACTTGAAAGTTGCAAAAGGCTATCAGCTTTCCTCTAACCTGCATTATGTCTCAAAATTTGGAGCAGGTAGGTGTGGTGGCGCTCACCGGTAACCCCATCTTGAAGGAACTTTTTCAATTTGAGACTGTCTCAAAAAGCAAGCAAAGAAACAACCAGGCAAGTCAATTTCACTATTCATTTTTGTTTAAGTATGTTTTTTTTTTCCATTAAAGCCATTAGCTTTTAATCTAAGGCATGATTTTATTTAACAAGGATTTTATTTTTAAAGTAATGTTCGGCACTGACCTTGGTCTCTGTGATCTTCTTTTGGATTTCATTCATCGTGTGAGGACCCTCTTTCCATGAGTCAAGCTTGGCTCTAGCCTGTCCTATGACCTGTTCAGCTTCTTCCTTCGTTTCTAGCCACTGTGTTGAATCCTTTAACATTTCATCCAACTGTTGTCTCCGGTTCTGAAGGTGCTCTTGTACCTCATCCCACTGATTCTGAATTCTTTCAACTGGCGTAAGAGGAAAAATAAACAGTAGTAAATACGTCTCTAGAGAAGACAGTTTAAACTTATCATAAAAACTTCATTTCATATTTGCATTTCTCATTACAATATTTATGATGCTATGGGTATGATAATTAATAAAATTTCTTTGCTCAGATGGCAAATTTGATCTTCTATTAAATTATCATCGTGAAAGTAAATTAGAATATTGCTGCCATGGGTAGAAATATAATTTTATTCTTAGTTTCTAATACCAAAAAGAATTATGTCTTAGAAATGTTCTCTATGGCTTTGCCCTATTACTTATGCATTTGACTTGTGAGTATAAGAATCTTAGTTTGGATGTCCCAAAGTCAGAGGCAAGATGGAAAACAGAGACAGAAAATTTTCTAGAGCTCGCTGGGTAGCTAGCCTATACTTCTTGGTGACATTTCAATTTAAAGAGAGACCTTGTCTCAAAAATGGTGAAAAATGCCTGAATTATGACTCTAGAGGTTGCCAACTGGCCTTCATGCTCAAATGAGATCAAGAGAAGACATTGAGCATATATATATATATATATATATATATATATATATATATATATATATACATATATATGCATTTAATAAGGGAATTTGGACAAATATACTTTATGCTCATGTAACTATGAAACAGATTTTCCACAACTTCCAATGCCCATAGAATGAAACCTCACCCATAAGTGATGGAATATTATTAGGATGATATAATTTCATAATTCTTATATGTAGCAAGAAATTTTTGGAACAGTATCTTTGTGTTTTCCTATTCTAATTATTTTTATGATGAACCTGTCAATAAAATTGACATTCTAATGTAGGTATACAAGGACCTGATTATGCCAGAGGACTTTCTTGTGAGCAGAACTTTGTATCTATGATTTAAGAGATACACTGTTTTCCTGCTAAGTGTATCTTTGCTAACTAACTGCACATTCAAATACCACTATTATAGACAAAGAGTTCTACTGATCTTCCTTTTTGCAGCCATAGACATGTATCAAATACTATTATGATTCATGTTTTAACTTTTTCTCTCCCTGTCTATGGATACCTCTCCAGCAAGAATAGGGTTTGTAATAGATACTGGAAGTAACCAATCTCTATACCCTTGGTACTTCTCGTAAGTACACATTAGCAAGCACTTACCGTGCTGTACTACAAAGCATGAAGGATTTCTCTTAGCGTGACCAGACTTGCAGGGACAATTAAGGAATAATAACAGTATTAAGGCACTGTCAGATAAGGGTTGGAAGAACATCACTCCTTGATCCCTGCCTTGTTGCTTGGGAGTGAAAATTATGAGAAGCTTGTTCCCTAGCCTCTGAGTTCCCACAGTAATGTTGAACAACCATGGCAAACAACAATAGCCTCCATAATAATCGACTCTTACAGTTTCTTTCCTTTCCCAAGCTCGATTCCACTCCCCTACAGGTACCTTACAAATGAACACATTTTCCTCAAACTATCATTCCAAAGTTTGTTTCTTGAGAAACACAGCCCAAATTGTTACTACTATAGTCATTAAAGAAATTAAGCTGGTTGCACGACAGTTTAGTGGGTAAAGGCACATCCTTCCAAGCCTGATGATCAGGGTTCAAATCCGAGAACTTACATGGTAGAGTCAATCTTATTGAAAAATTATCATTGTCCTTTTATTATGTCTCAGCTTTACATCTTTCCAATAATGGCTTTAACTCCTATTTTATTGTCTTCGTTCATACTCATAATTGCTATCTCATGAAATAAATGTTCTGTGAGATTGGTTTCTTTGGTTCTAAGTTAATTTGTAAGGCTACACTTTAAAAAATCATTTCTATGGTTTTGTTACACTAATTTAATTTATATTAACCGTAATTTTTTGTGCAAAACTCACTCAAAATCAGGCTTGCTAGTAGAATGTCAAGATATGATATAAATTCCGTAGACTAAAATGTATGGTGAACTTTCCTGTGGTGTTAAAGTCATTGATAAATTATTTTCTCCAATATTTTCAAATTAATTTCAGGTTACAAAGACTCATTTGCTATACCTTTTGCCTGTTTTAAATCGAATAATTGACAAAGTAATATAAAAAGATTTTTATATAAATTAATGCTGTTTTAGATGTATTTTAAAGTTTAGAATCACATTAAAGTCTAGAAGCTAATCAGCACAAATAGTGTATTATTATTACTAACTAAATGCAATCTATGAATATAAGAAAGACAGAAGAAACAGTAAGCATATGAGAATTCATTTTGCAGAGCAGGAATTAAAGAGTGAGCGTTGCTTTTACAAAAGGACTCATAAGACTTTAGAAAACTAGTCAGTTTGTCAAATATATTCAAAATATTATTTGACTTGTAATTGTTACCAGATACATAGTCAACAGAAATGCAAACTTATTTATATTTACCAAGAGACTCATACTTTTCACTCCTCTTAAACCAATAAATAGAAATTTGTATTTCTATCTATCTATCTATCTATCTATCTATCTATGTTCTATCCATTACCTATCTTTCTATGATGATGTAGTATATATGGAGGAGTGAGAGAGTTGGAACTATTTGCAATAATATGGAAAGATTGCAAAAATATAATTATTGAGGCATACAAAAGTTAGTTACAATTGAGTAGATACTGAAATGCTGTTTTATTAAATGTAAGATGAAAAGTCAGGAAAGAATAGAAGATTATGGGACTCAGGCTAGTGGTTGCTCTTGTTGGATTGGTAGTTACTAGAATACATATGAAGGGCTCTGACAAGTTTCTGATAATATCCTCTTTCTAGATTTGTGTGGCATTTACACAGGTGTACTTAGTTTGTGACAGTTTGCCAATTCAGATGTTTATGCTAAATAAAGTTTTCATTATACATTGAAATGAACATATTATTTAACTTTATATATATATATATATATGTGTGTGTGTGTGTGTGTGTGTGTGTGTGTGTTTTTCCAAAAGTGGTACAATATAGATTGGGTTGCTGAGCTTACACCACTGTTTAGGGAATTAGATGTCTGCAGATAATGTTCAGTGGCACAAAAGCTTGCCTATCACACAGGAGCTCTTAGCCTGGTCCTCAGTACTACAAAAGGAGGATGTTTAAAAAATACTTACCATACAGTGAACTAGAGTAAATTCTCCATAAGAAACTAGAACATGAAGAGTAATCAGTTGTTCACCTATTGGGTAAAAAAGCTGGGCACTGCAGTAATCGCCAGGGAAGACCTTGCACAACCGTATGCAGAAAATTTTAGAAGCATTACAAATATTTCATCTTTTCAAGAGATGAAAGAAAGAAGGCATCAAATGTGATCCCTCATGTTCCCATCTCTACCCACCCCCCAGTCCACCCATGAAATTGCTTTTGTTTCCCTTTCCCAAGGAGATCAAAGCACTCCCCATTGCATCCTCCTTACCTACCCTCTCTTGGTCTATAGATTATAGCATGGTTAACCTTTATTTGAAAGCTATTGTCCACCATGTTTTAGAGGGGGCAATACTGAAAGAGACCACTGGAAAGGGAGGAACACTTGGGGTGAGGTAGAAACCTGATAAATGGGAAACTCCCAGGTATCTACAATGAAGACCTCAGCTAAGATCCCAAGCAATAAGGAATACATAGACAGAAAGGGCTCTCTCCTGTGACCAGGCAAGACTTCCAGTGGAGGGATGGAGATACCAACCCACCCACATAACCTTTAGTCTTTCCTGCCTATGGGATGTGCTGGGGTAAGGGTGGCAGAGAGATGGTGTGAGTGGCCAGTCAACTACTGTCCCAGCCTGAGACCCATGACATAAGAGTGAGCACTCCCCCGACAGTGCCTGGAGCACGAGGACTCAGAGACTGGATGGTCCAGAGACCTATTATAGAGTCGAACACAACTGGAGAAAAAGTGTCAAGGGAATTGTGCCTAATGATATTCTGCTATGCTCATAGATTGGCGCCTAGCCCAGTTGTCGCCAGCGAAGCTTCATCCAGTTACTAATGGAAACATGCAGAGACCCACAGCCAACCATTAGGCCATAGTCAGGTAATCCTGCTGAAGAAAGGAAGGAAGGATTGTAGGAGCTATAGGGGTCAAGAATATAACAAGAAAAAAAAACCCACAGAATCAGTTGAACTGCTCTCATAGTGCCTCACAGAGAGTGAACCAATGACCAGGGAACCTGGGTTAGTGATCTAGGTCCTCCGTATATTTGTTACAATTGTGTAACTTGGTCTTCTTGTGGGACTACTAACAGTGGGAGTGGAGGCTGTTTCTGACTTGCCTCCTGACTTTTGGGACCTTATTTCTCACACTGGGTTTTCTTTCTCAGTATTAATATGAGGGGAGGTGCTTAACCTTACTGTAACTTGATATACTCTGTCTTGCTTATATCCATGGGAGGTCTGACTTTTTCAGAATAGAAATGGAGGTGGGGGAGGGACTGGGAGGAGAGAGGGGAGGTGAAACTGAAATAGGATGTAAATAGATAAATAAATAACAAAAATTTTTTTAAAAAGGAAATATGGCATTAAATCTCAAGCTCATCGAAGTGAAGCTGTTATCCTGGAAATGGTTCAGAGTGGGAGTTGGACAGCATGCAGACATAGTAATTGTCCATAATGGGCCGCACTTCAAATTACAGAATTTTATTACACTTGCAACCCTTTCCCCACGAGATTGATTGATCAAAGATGTATTATGGCAATGCACTTGGTCACTAGAGCCCATATTGTTAGATTTACATTTACACCAGCTTCCACTGACATGCGAGAGTGAAATAATAATAAAATATATGCACATAAACCCAGGCAATCTGTGCATGTTTGTAATTGAAAATCAACCCAGATATCCACTTTTTTTTTTCTCGTAGAGGTCCATTGCAGAAAGCTTCTCAACTGATTTACACAGTAAAGAGATGCTGGCTAATGAAGGAAAGTAAATAACCAAAGCTATGACATAAGATGACAGACTGGGACACAGCATGTGTGCTGATTTACAGGTCTCTAGA